CCATTTTACTATTCTGGAGTTAGATTAGTATAGTCCGCGGCACGAAGCACCGCGCACATCTTCAATTTACATGCGGAACAACTTACTGCTAGCGGCCGCGGGAAGCAACTTCGACTTCATTTTTTTCTCTTTACACTTCTAAAAATTTCCTTCTCTGCCTATCCTATTTACCCACCCCCCAAAACTCTATAACCACCGTTTTTGCAGGACAATTTGCTGGGATTAGGGGTATATGAGTGGGCCTACATAAGCTACTTTTGCCTTGCCTTCTATTCCAACATATTGATTAAGTATAGTTTTAGTAGTGATTACCGTGCAATCTAATCTTTATTAATTTCAGTCACCCCAGGATGCCGGCTTTTGAACGAGCTTCCTTTTGACTAACAGCAAGAAGTATACTCTGAGAACTATGGCTACTTAGGTAGAATGCTTCCTTCTCGTTGGTTATCGCTACCCTAATAAATGCAAATATATGTTGTAGAAAACATGCAAAAAAATATTCTTTCTTGTACTCGTGTGGTAACAAATAACGCCTTCGAATTTTATGCTTTTAAAAAAATTCTAATTATGACGGTTTTTACGACTATGAAACGTGCGTTCATAAAGCAACTTATCTGCCTGCTTTGTCAATGCTCTTTATAAATTATACAATTTGATCTACATCCACAGCAAAATTTTATGAGAACTGAGCGACCTTTTCCTTGCACTGTAGGGAATTATTTATTTATTCTAAGACGGAATGTATGCAACATATATTCTGAAAACCTCGAATTCAGGTGTAGCAGTCGGTAAATCTCGAAATTATCTGGGTATTTATAAACTTTTTCAAAACCGAAATATACCAGTTCTTCAAGTGTAAAATTTTAAGAAGGCCTAATTGGCTACCAAACGAAGAAGAGAAATAATATTTTTGCAACAATGGTATTTTACCGACAAACGGAGACCACACTCACGAAGATTTTCTGCCTTTTTGGGCGTCATCAGGTGATAGTAGGTCAACTCCAGTGTAGCAGCGGAAATTGCCGCCAC